CCCCCAACCAACACATCTGTCTTGTGGCTTCTCTCCCCGTTATATTTTCTTCAAAACTTGTGCTTCTTGCTTCTGCCATCTTCATACTGTTTTTCCCCTGTACATATACACAGTGCCCTTGCTCACATGAATATATTAGTAGCCATATTCTAACCATCTACCACCATTTTCACACTCAATCATAGGCACTGTCTCCCCTCACCAATTCAGTCATAGTCCCCTCCTCCCCATATCCTCATTTCACATCGATGTAACTCTCACCCATAGAGCTATATTTCAGTCATGTATCCCCAACTCCCAAAGCTGACAATCACATGCCTCTGTACCCATTCCCTTAAATGAGTCTATAAGGATTAGCCCCTTTTATGGACTAACATGTCTGTCATGTTGATTGTACCATGGACATACACTCTGGTCCCACCCAACGTCTCCCCCCTTGATCAAGCACAGGTTCTGTAAGATACTCAGTAACAATTGTCCCCCCAGGCCCCCACCTCTAACCCAATGTAAGGACAATGGCCAAATGGTGTAACTAAAAAGGTAGGTAATTTTATTTCGTCTTGTAAAATTTGAAACTGTATTTTATATGTGTGCATTTTTCCCTTAATATAGTGGTTATGGTCCTTGGAGTATTCCTTTAAATATAAAGGCACGCAGGTCAAACTAAGGGCATCATAACATTTAAAATACTTCACATGTGACAGGAATGGGTGACACACTGTGTTGCAATAGTGACAAAACAATGATACAGACATTACATATAATTAAAGCGATTGTATAGACATAACTATACGCTGGTACAAAAGAGGAAAGGGCTTTGGTCTTGTGAGCTTACAAATTGCAATCTGTGGAATCGCATCAATTTATATTTAAATACAGAATAGGATAATTTATGTTTTATTTCACCATTGTTGGCATGTCATCATATTGTTTCGTCTTTAGCAAATCTTTCACATGTTAATTGACGTTGCACAATGTGCTTTAATAAAATGTTTTGTTTTTTTTATAATCTCCAGCAATATTACAGAAGGTAAATAGCAAAAAAAAAAAGAAAAAAAATCTGATAGATAACAAGTAATAAACCTTTTTTCTCTATAAAGTGGAAGCAGATCAGGCAGTGTTATCAAGAGTTAATCAACTGTGAAATCTTATCAAACCTTATCTATAATAAATGCTAATATTTAATGTTTTATATATTTGTTAAAGGATCATTATAGGGTCAGGAACATAAACATGTATTCCTGACCCTATAGTGTTAACACCACCAT